TTTTTTTATGACAAATAAAATTGTTATAAATAACTTGTTAACAATATCAATTTTTTCTATCACTATAAAATTATTTTTTGTGACAGGTGTTTAATTTGTCATTAAAAGCATTAGTGACAAGGGTTTTATTAACGGTTTAAATTTTATTACTAATAATAATTTGTGACGAAAAATAAAGATTTAATGATCAATAATTTAGTCACTAAATGTGAATTTTCTTGTAGTGACAGAAATATATGGAGTGTGCAAGTCCCTTCAAAAGTGAGTGCTTTTTCATGGCAAATGCTTCTTGACAGAATTCCCACTAAGGTCAACTTGGCAAAGCGGGGCATTATGGATGTCAACCAAGGTATAAAATGTTTTTGGTGTGATCAGTTTCCTAAACATATAGATCATCTTTTTGTATCATGCAATATCTCATTCAAATTATGGTCTAAATGTCTAAATTGGTGGGGATTATGTTATGTCCTTGGGAATACTTGTCTTGATGTTTTCAACCAGCACAGTTGGCATTAGGGCTCAAAAATTATGAAAAAAAGGCTGGAATATGTTATGGTTCACAATAGTATGGTCATTGTGGTTGAGTAGAAATGAAACAGCCTTTCAACACAAGAAGGTTAATGAGGACAAGCTATTTGAACTTGTACAAATCCACTCATTTCATTGGGTTAGGACTCTGTTGAAATTAAAAAATTTTTCTTTCATAGAATGGATTACCAACCCAGTGAGTTGCTTGACAAATAGGAATTAGAGTGTAGATGGGGAGTTGAATTCCAGGTTTTCTGTTTTGGGAATACCTTGTGATCTTGTTGTTTTGACCCACTTCCTAGATGTAATTTTGTATATTGATGTCAATGGGTTTGAGTACCTCTTGTACTCACATAATAAATTTCTTTTTGCTTTTCAAAAAAAAAAAAAAAAACATAAAAAACCTTTCTATTTCCCTATAAGTGCCAGGAAATGGGTATAAACATGAAAGACTATACCTCCTTTAGCTTTTCATTATTCCACAACTAAGAAAGTTGTCTAAATGCCTCACGGCTTGAATCAGGCAGTGTAAGTTGAATGCCCCAGCATGCAAAAATTTTCTTCCCAACTTTATATGCCCAGTTACAATTAAATGTGAGATGGGCCAAATCCTCGTCCTTTTCACACACACTGGACATGATGAGCTCCCCCTATCCACCTAGATTCATCTTCTTGCCAAATTTTTCTTGGTTGGCAACCTATCCAAAAATATTCTCCATGTGAAAAAGCTCACCTTTCTTGGTAAAATTTATTCCATATTGCTCTGCATAGATCTGCATCCGAAATCCTTTGTCCTGTATTCATTAAAATATAAGTTTTTCTAGATTATCCATTGCTATTTGACTTTCAAATTCTGGTGTCCCCATGACCTTTCATCAATCTCGCTCCCTCCAACATTGATATCAATTTCTTCTCATCCTCACATTCCCTCCCACGCAAGTTCCTCCTCCACCTAAAATTCCAATGCCAACTATCATTTCTCCAGTCCCCCATCTACTTAATACATTTCCCCTCATAATTTGTAATCGTCTTCAGCCTAGGACAAACCTCACCTAACACAGAATCACCTATCCATATATCCTCCCAAAACTTAATTCTACTTTCTACTCCTAATTTCCATCCAAGCCTATTTCCTATCATGTCCTTAGATTTCTCCTCCATTCCCACTACAACAATATCACTTCATACCTTTGACAGCCTTGCTGCAATTACAACTACCCACACCATTATCCACCCTACAAGTATAATACTTTCCTTCACCACCTTTAACCATAAGCCCTATTTTCCCTCCTCAAATCTTGCCTACCACTTACCTAGAAGTGATAAATTCCTAACTCTAAGATTCAACACCCCTAAACCTCTTCTTATCATATCTAAACAAACTTTTTCCCATGAGACCCAATGAATTTCCTATTTCCCTCGTAATCACCACAAAGAAACTCTCTTTCCAATTTTTCAAACATTTTTACAACACTCATCGGCACCTTAAAAACACAAAAATAGTACAATGAAAAAGAAGATAGTGTCAAATTTAAGAGGATGAGCCAACCACCAAAGGATAGGGATCTTGAATGCCAACTCAATAGCTTTTTTTGAAACTTTTCCACAATCAACAGCCACATCTTTCTCTTCCTCACATTATCTCCAACAAGAATACCTAAGTAAGTAAACGATACAGCACCTCTTCACATTTTCATCCATGCCCCATCAATAAACAGTCCAAGAACACTACTCTTTTTGAAGTTTATTTTCAATCCTAACACAATTCAAACCACTTAAAATACCTTTTACAGCCCATACATGCTCCATTTTGGCTTTCCTGATAATCATTGTATCATCTACAAATTGGAGATGTGAAATATGGAGATGTGAAATATGGAGGTTACTATGCCCAATCTACACTCCTTCAAATAATCCTACCTCCATTGCATTTTTGATTAAATAATCCAGACCTTGAACTACTAGAAGAAAGAGGAATGGTGATAATGAATCATCCTGTCCTAAACCTCTTTCCAATCTAAATTCCTCTGTGGGATTTCCATTAACAAGAACAGAGATGGTTGCTAAGAACAAGCATTCCAAAATCCATTTTCTCCACTTCTCTCCAAAGACATTTTTCTCCATCATGCTGATCAAGAACCCCTAATTCACACAATCATATGCTTTCTTAAAATCAACTTTCAGAATGAAGCTATCCTTTTCCTTCTAATGTCATCCACCATTTCATTCCAAACTAAAATGCCATCCACTATTTGTCTACCACCCACAAAAGTTAATTGGTTTTCATTGATCAAACCCTCTATCATGAATTTAAGCCTATTAGCTAACACTTTTGATAGACCCTTGTAAATACTACTAAAGAGGCTAATTGGTCTAAAATTGCAAATCTGTGAAGTGTCACCTAGTTTGCTTTCGACTTCTGCCACCATAAGCTTTCCTTTTTCTTCAGACCATCCCATAATTCACCCCTTCCTTTCTTAGCAGTACATCAAAATCCTTCAACTCATGATTTTCCCCTTTTAAGTTAATCTTGCTTATTTTCTCTTTGGCTTCTTCTTTCTGTCAATATGACCAAACTCCTCTTTGTTACATCTTCAAAGAAAGGATTTTAGAGCTTTCCATTTCTCCTTCCAAACATTGCTACCCCACTCTTACAAAGAAACTGCTTCCCATTGTTGTTTTGATAATTTCCTTGAATCTAGGAGCCTCAAGCCAACCATTCATTGACCGAAAAGGCTTTGGCCCCCAATCTACACTGTTTGTATTAAATATCACTGGGCAGTGGCCTGAAACTATCCTTTGGAGCCCCACCTGAAATTTTGCATTAACCAAGAATCTACCAATTCTACTCATGGCCAACCCATCAAATTTGTACTAAGTGTAGTTTCTCTCCATCAACTGTAAGTCCATTAAGCTTACGTCGAATACAAATTCATTAAAAGCCAATACCTCCCTTGAACAATCCATTTTTCCAACATTTTCATTTGGATTCAAGACTGCATTAAAATCGCCTGCTACACAAATTATGCCCCCTAATAATGAAATAACATTCTTCATATTATTCCACATCTGCATTTTTTCTTGTAAGTTGCATGAAGCATAAATGTTGAAGAAAGAGCATTGATGTGTACCCCAAACACCTTTCACACATACAAACCAATCACCAAATACACTTTCCTCCTTTACAAACACTAATTTGTTATACAAACATAATAGCCCTCTTGATCTCCCAACAGCATCTTTGGCTATCTATTCCACATCATCAATACCCTAAATTGCATTGCATTCGTGTTCTTAAACCTTCTCCCATTTTGTTTGTTGTAAGAACACCATATTTGCTTTCTCTTTCATCACCAATTTCCTGGTGAAAATCCATGGCCAGCTCTCTACCTTATTGACTGTGAAACTGTCAGCCCCCAACTTATAATATGAAAGTTTTAATCTCTCATCTTTTTGATTCAAATGAAAACACTCAAAATGGATAGCAAACTCACGTGATCGTTAATATACTATTATTCATTGTCATGTCAATGCCATTGTGGCAATTTATTGCCATCATGGACAGTCACCATAGACATTGACAATAAGAGTAGGAAAACTCCTGCCTACTCTTAAAGTGGACTTATATCTATTTATCTAAAAATTAAAAATAAAAATAAAATATTTTAGGAACAATTTTTTTATATTATTTTTTGCAACAATTTTACGTGTTATTTAAATAATTGACTCTTTTTATTTATTTAGAACCTATGATATTAATTATATTTACTCATTTAATAAGATATAAAAGTTGTATAAAAAAATTATACAAAAATTGTCTCTATGTCACCTCTCAAAAATGTAAATATATAGAAATATCAAAACTTTGACTTTAATATAAAAAATAAAATGATGAATTATGAATATTCAACTCCATTTGATTATGTTGTTTGTTGATATGAATATAACTTCACACTAAATAAATATACACTATCATTAAATAAATAATATAATAATAA